TTTTTCCCAATGTTTTCTTCTAAGAGTTTCAGATTTTCAGGCTTTACATTGAGGTCTTTGAGCCCTTTGGAATTGACTTTTGTGCAGGGTGAAAGATAGGGGTTTAGTTTCATTCTTCTACAAGTGGAGATCCAGTTTTGCCAGCACCATTTGCTGAACATGCTGTCTTTCCTCCAGTTAATGTTCTTGGCCCCTTTGTCAAATATCAGGTGGCTAAAATTGCAATTACTCATATTTGGGTGTTCGATTTTGTTCCATTGGTCTATGGGTCTATTTTTATGCCAGTACCATATTGTTTTTATGACTATAGCTCTGTAGTAGAGCTTAAAATCTGGTATAGTAATCCCCCCAGCATTGCTCTTAGTTCTCAGGGGTGTTTTGGCTGTCCGGGGTCTCTTGTGCTTCCTATAATCTTAGTGCTTAGGTGATGGAGGCAAGAGGACTGCCATGAGTTTGAGGCTAGACTGGGCTACATGGTGAGTTCCAGGCCAGTCTGAGATAACACAGAAAAAATCCTATCTCAATCAATCATCAATCAATGGAAGAGACTGAGACTTGGGGTGTAGCTCAACAAAGAACACTTTCCTAGCACACTCGAGACTCTGGGTTTTATCCTCAGTGCTGAAAGACAAAAATGAAAAGAGGCTTCTTGTGAGCAGACCTGCCTTAACATCAGCCTAGCTACCCCCAAAGCCAAACACATCAATATCTTAGGATTCTCAGAGAACCCTTCTGCAGCAGTTGGGGTGGCCAAGCTGTTATTCTATAAAATAAGGAGTTGCAGAAGCAGCAGTGGTTTGGGAGGGTGGCCTTGCATTTCAGATACCTACCATGTCCATCCGTAGGTCCCAGCGGCAATGGTCACTGAGTAGCTGGGCAAGAGTCTTCACATGCCTGTCCCTGGCCATAAGGCAGACCTCTGCAAGCTTTGGTTCAAATTCTTTTCTATAATTCAAAGAAATTAAGAGATTAAAGTCACAAGCTACAGGTGTTGCTCAGTGGCAAAGCTCTTGCCTGAGTGCATGAGACCCTGGGTTCCATCTCCAAGACTCAGAGAAGGAAGATGAGAAGGAGGAAGAGGAGGAGGAAGAGGAGGAGGAGGAGGAGGAAAGGTCACAGTCACCTTCAGATCTGGAGACAAAAGCAGATTTCCTAGAACATTTGTAATCATCTGGGTATGTCACAGGCCACAGATAGGATGTCTAGTCAGAGCAAAATTGTTTGAGACAGGGGAATCTGCCTTCTGTCTTCTCTCACATCCTTGCTCCCTTCCCTCCTGCTGCTGTTCACTCATACCTCAATGACTCATTCATGCAACAAGCACTGCCAAACCCAGTGCTGGGTACTGGGATTATAACATGGAACTGCTGGCTTGGTAAGAAGACAGAGAGGTACCAGGGAAGGTGTGATAAGTGCAGTAGATGTCTATGAAGAGGAGAGAAAGTGCAAGGGCCTAAGTCAGACCCCAAGAGTCTGGAAAGTTGGTAAAGACACTTAAAGCTCAATGAGGAAGTGAGAGAAGGAAAGAGTCACCAGGGAGCAATGACGTAGCTTTCCAAAGAGCGGGACATGCACAAAGGAGGCTCTGGACATGACAGAAGGAGGCATTCAAGGACTTCATGCAGTCCAGTTGTGTTAGAATGGCAGGTGCAGTAATGAAGTCACGCAGGTAAAAGTCAGATAAGAGAGGTAACAATTAAAAGCAATCCTATCTCATTCTGAAGGCAGAAAGAAGCTATTGGAGACATTTTGAACAGAAGCCAAACCACAGTAGGCTGGTTCAAGAAGCTTAATATAGCTGGGCTTGGTGATACATCCTGCAATTCCAATAATGGGGAAGCTGAGGCAGGAGGATCACAAGTACAAGGCCAATGGTACTACATAACAAAACCCCCATCTCAATAAACAAACCAATAGGACAGTTAACCTGTAAAGGGGAGGAAGCAGCAGAAGTGTGAAGGGGACTCTGTGCCAAAGGAGGTTTCTATTGAAAGTCTATTCAAATTTGCATGCTGAGAAGACATGGAGAAGTTGGAGCTTATGGAAAGGGAGGAGAAAAGTGATAAGGCGAAAAGGGAAGGATGGGGACACATTTCAGTGGGAAGGAGAGACAAGGGGTGGGAGACAGTGATAACTAACACTAGCGGTATTTGAAAATGACATAAGAACATGTATTTTATATGTTTTATATGTAGAGAGAGAGAGAGAGAGAGAGAGAGAGAGAGAGAGAAAGGTGAGGGGACCTGGACCTGAGATGGGTGCTGTCCTTGGGCTGCAGGTTCAGTTCACTGAAGGGTACACTCTGGGGTGACATCAGCACACAGTAAGTTTATCAGGGATGGCTCAAGGGGAAGGCATGGGGGCAGGCCTTGAAGCGACAATTGGGCTTGTGGTACAGGTTCCAGCTTATGGGAAGCTCTGAAGCTAAGATATGGAGACCAGGCCTCTGTTGAGATGGGTGCTGTCCTTGGGCTGCAGGTTCAGTTCACTGAAGGGTACACTCTGGGGTGACATCAGCACACAGTAAGTTTATCAGGGATGGCTCAAGGGGAAGGCATGGGGGCAGGCCTTGAAGCGACAATTGGGCTTGTGGTACAGGTTCCAGCTTATGGGAAGCTCTGAAGCTAAGATATGGAGACCAGGCCTCTGTATCCCTTCATCAGTCAATGGTTGCATACAGGCTGCCTGGGAAAGCAACATGCCATTGGGCAAAGAAGCTCTGGGCAAAGCAGATCTCTTCAGCTAAGCAGGCCTGGTAGCTGAAGGCGATCTGTTGTAGGCAGAGTCCTTAACTCCTGAGAAGCAGGGCAGTGTCCATCACAGGGAGAAAGAGGGCGCTATTGCACTGGTGTTGGTGTGAGGCTGAAGGTGTAAGGCTGTTAGCCTGAATTCTTTTCTGAGAAAACGGAACTTAGTGTTTTTGCTGAAAGCTCAGGTTGGATGGGGATGGTGGGGGTGGGGGTGGGGAGAGTGAAATAGCTGCTTCAGGATGGTGAAGAGAAGCCAACCAGGGACATAGAATGACTTTGCCAAGTGCTACTGGGGTCTCTGTTGAAGCCAGGGAACAAACTATTCCAACAAATTCAAATTGATAAATTGCAAGGCCTTTTCATCCATGGTTTCTTAGATTGGTTCTCCTTCCCTCAGATTCCATTAGTTTGTACCAGGAAATGTCTATATTATTATTATTATTATTATTATTATTATTATTATTATCATCATTATGATATAAATGGGGCAAAGGCCACAGTGTAAAATCTGAAACTCTGGAACTGTTAGAGGAAAAAGTAGTCAAAAAGTTCAAGGTATAGTGACAGTGCTATTGAATAGCACTTCATTCACTCAAGAAATCTGAAACAGTGATTATTAGCATTTGGTGCTCTTGCAAAGGACCTGAGTCCAGTTCCCAGCACCCATATCAGAGTGCTGGGACTAAAGGCATGCGCCACCCAACACTTTATGAGACTATGTTGCTAAATTCCCTCAAATTTGTCGGGTGTGGTTGCACACACCTTTAAACCCAGCACTCGGGAGGCAGATGCAGGCGGATCTCTGTGAGTTCAAGGCCAGCCTGGTCTACATCGTGAGTTCCAGATAGCTGGGGCTACAGGGAG